CAGCGAACCCCGCGACGGGGAGGGGGCTTGGGTCAGCCCCCCCCCCAGGTCCCCACTGGACCCAGGACGCTCCCACACCCAGACCCGGCATGGAGCGGGCTCATCAGGACAGACCCCCCGAGACACGCAGGATGCGGGACAACATGCAGTGGAGGATGTTAAATATTTAGAGTGATAGAGGGAGTGGGGGGAACTGCACTGCCACCAAATGCACATTTCACGGGCGGGCGCCCAGCATAAGATGGCACCGGGCCCGGTGCACCCAGACGTGGCACAGATTGAGGGCTCCCGCAGGGGGCGGGGAAGAGGCCCGGGCTGCTCCCCTACTCAGGCTGCAGAGAGGAAAGCACCTTAGGAGGCAAAGCAGGGTGGGGTGGCAGGTGCCTTGGGGGCCTTGCACCTGGCTGATCTGCCCCGCTCCCCGCAATCCCACCCACCTGCAGCCAGTGTGGCCTCCCCATCGGCCCAGGGAGCTTCCTACCTGCACGGGGTCCTGGCACCAGAGCCCAGTCGGAGCAGTCGGCCCCTCGGCCCCTGTCTAGCCCCGCTCCCGGGACAGGCTGGCAGGAACAGGCAGTGTGACCGTGAGGATGGGGGCACAGAGCCGGGGCACAGAGATGCCCTCACCCTCCAGCCAGCGGTCTTGATCCTTCTCTTTCTTTTTCAGGTCCTGTCCCCTGCCACCTGCCGCCCCTCAAGAGCCCACTGCACGCCCAGCTGGGTGCCAGCACGCTCTGGGCCGAGCCCAGGTGGTGCCAGCACGGTGGCTGCTCCCTTCTGTGGAGCCAGCTTGTCCCCGCCCGCCTGCCTGCCCGCAGCTGCCGCCTCGCTGGGGAGGAATCTCAGAGCTGTGCAGGTCCCGCTGACTCAACTGCCACACACCGCGGAGCTCGCCCGCCCGCCCGCAGGGGCGAAAACAAAAGCATTCATCTTCCCTGGGAGGCTCTTTATCCTCCACCCCCTATCAGCTACCTTGTGGCCGGCGCTGAGCTGGGGGACACTCCGCAGACACGACCCCTCGGATCCCCGAGGAGGTTCTGGTGACCGGGCCGCCAGGGCCGGGGCTGGCGTGTCCCGCCTACCCCAAAGGGTGCTGGAAGTGGGCCAGGCTACAGTCACACACCTGTAGCGACAACTGCTCAGTCCACAGAGCCTAAGATGCTCCCCGTTTAGGCCATCAGGTATCACAGCGTGGTGTGAAACAGAGCACAAAGCAACATCTACGCAGGGGGAGGCCAGGTGGTCAGGCCAAGAACAGGCACCGGGAGCCCAGCTGGGCCTCCTGGGTTCGAGTGGGCTCCGCCCTGCATGTGGCCGATAGCCCGGCACACG